TCAGTTTGGCTCTGTAAATATTTGGCTCCACAGAAATGAGGTAAATTAGTGCTCAGGAGCATCTGGCTTCCCTTTGTAGCTTATTTCACAGCAAAATGCACAATGTTTCCCTTCACAGGTGAGTCAAGATAAGCCCTCACATATTCCTGAGCACTGAGGAAATGCCTCCTGCCCGATCCAAGACTCAGCAGAAAAAGGCTGGGAAGGAGAAGGAGCTCAGTTGTGAGCAGAACTCTGCAGGAAACTCAAAGATGTGCTGTGGGAAGAGGAGGGAAGGTAAGAGCAGAGGCCAAGGGAAGGGCAAAGAGTCAATTCCTGCACAAGGTGACAGCCTTGGAGAAGAGCCCTTAAAAATCCAGAGGCTGGGGAGGCCACAGGAACACAAAGAGAATGAGCACAAGAAGTTATTCCGGAGGAAAAGAGCCTGCAGGAGAAATTATAAAAGTGAATCTGGTCTGGGGAGAAAACACAGAGAGTCCAGGATGGAAGAGAAGAAAGAAAAGGCCTGCAAGCAATGGGAAATGACATCAGGGCAGGAGAGTGAGGACAGCAGTGACAAGGAGGGAAAAGCCACCACAAACAGAAAGAAAAGGAGTTTTAAAAAGAGATGTGGAAAGAGACTTGGTGCTGGTGGAACTGGCACCGAGCTGGGGGCTGTGAGGGCAATCACAGAGCAAGGTGCTGAAGGCTCTTTACAGAAACAGAACTTGGCAGAAAAGGCACAGAACCCCAGGGGAAGGCACAGAGGGAATCAGGACTTCAAGGAGCAGAAATCAGGTTCTCAATCCCAAGGGAGTACAGCACAGGAAAAAGGTGAGAGGACTGGGAAAAAGCAACCTGAAAATCTTACCAGGATTGCCATCACTGAGAGTGAGGATGAAAATATTCTGGAAGCCTCAGGTCAGTCCTGCTCTGACTCCAGCAGTGAAGGCCATGGAACCCACAAAAGGGGTCCAAAGGAGGCTGTGGTGGGCAGCAGTTCCTGCAGTGAGGAGAGGAGCAGCTCCTCTGAGCAGGGGAGCAGCTCTTCTGAACTAGATGGCAACAGTGAGAAAGAACTCGTGCTCAAAGATCCTCCTGTGGGAGAAGGAAAAGGCTGCAAGGAACTGGCTGGTGAAAGCAAGGAAGCACCTATGGAACCTGAAAAGGAGCTGGTGACCACAGGTAGAAAAACTGAATCTGAGGCTGAAGGCACGGGATTTGCAGGATTGGAAGCAGAGGAGAAGGTGAGGAAGCCAGACAAGATGCTGAGACAACCAGAATGTGCTCCAGCAGAGAGCAGTGAGGCAGATGATCAGTTAAGCACTTCAGGACTCCAAGTTAAGAGTGTTAAGAACAGGGAAAGTATTGAAATAGACAAGGAAAATATACTAGAAAATGAGAGAGTTGAAGATGTGTCAAAGGATGGACACATGGATCCTGACAGCAGCACTGCAGAGAACATTGATGAAGTAAAAGAAAACAAACCAGAACCACTCCCAACTGCTGGGAAAGCAAAACTCCACGCTCCCCTTAGCAAATATGAACAGGAAGAGAGGGTGAATGATGAGGGCAGAGAGCTGGAGGATGGCTCTTTCCTCTCCAAGCAGCAGAGGACATTGAAGGAGAAACCTGGCGAGTGTGAGATCCCAGAACAAGGTGAAGAGGGTGGAGATGGACAGAGGGACAGTTCAGACTGCAGCAGGCAGGGCCTACCAGCACTGATGCTTACAAAGAATTGTTCTTCTCAATCCCAAATCCCCCTCAGTCTGGAAAACCAACATAAAAATGCTGAGACCAAGCTACCACCAAGCCAGAAACCAAATCCTGCCCAGATGGCTTTGGGAACCAGCTCAGGCCTGAACAATGTTGAAAGCATCTGTTCAAAAGCCATAGAAACTCCCAGTGAACAAAGACAACCCAACACAGCTCAGAGTTTCGGAGAGAAAAGATTAAATACTTCAAGCTGCTCCACGATATCAAAAAAATCATCTGATAAGCAGCTCCATGGAAAGAAGAAGAAAGTTGGAAAAGTTATTGGAAAAGTTAAACAGAGTTCAGGGCAGTCTACAAAGGCAAAAAAAGAGAAAGCAGAAGAAGTGGTTGCAGAGGCACCTTCTGAAACAGAGCCTGTGCACAGTGAGGAAGGATCCAAGCACCTGCACACCCGCTCTGCCTTTAGAAAAGTCACCAGCTGGCTTGGCCAGAAACCTGCCAGGAAAGCAAGGCTGAAAGCTCGACTGCTGAGTGTGGCACGAGCAATTGGTATCTCCAGGTGGCTCTTGAAGAAATTTGGGAAGAAGAAGAGGAGCAGCAAACCTTTTGGATTCAGAAGTAGAATGGCAATCCGGATTCTGAGCACTGCTGGGTGGGTTGGTCAGTCTGGCAAAGCCTTCCCTGGACAGCTGGAGAGGGCTGAGCTGAGGGACAGAGAACCTTCTGCTTCATTAATGGAGGGGAAAGGTGGTCCCAAAATGGTGGAGGAAGTGGGACATGTTGATTTGCCTGCTGGTGATTCCCCTCTTCATGGAACCAGTTCCTTTCCATGCTCGGATGAGAAGAGCAGTGCTACTGATGCCAAGTTTGCTGTAGTGTTCCCCAGAGCCCACAGCTTGGTTAAGGCCAAGAACTCCTTGTCCAGGGGCTCTGGCAATGGTTATTCCCTGCAGAAACTGAAATCTCCATCAGAGAGAAAATCTGTCCCTCCTGCACAACAGGCTTGCAGATTCAAATGTGACCTTCCCAGAGCTCTGATGGATCCAAGGCAGAGAAACAGCAAGCAGGGCTTCCTCCCACGCCGAGAGGAGGAGCCAATCCCCACCTCAGATTATTGCAGGGAGGTGGGCACCAAGGAGGGCCCAGGTGTCCTGCAGACTGCAGGATCCACGGCCACATCCAGTGTGCACTGGTCCCAGCAGCAGGGGCAGGGATGGGGCCCTGCAGCGTGGCTGAGCTCTGAGCTGCTGCTGCCACGGCCAACCGTGGAGAACCTGAGCAAATGGGCCACGTCCAGGGAGCCCCAGCTGGCCAGCAGCCGTGGGAGGCTCTGCAAGGACCAGTGGGAGGCAGATGATATTGCTGACAGCGTGCTGGAGATGGAGTTCATGCAGAAACAGGTACGGGTGTTGTCCCCGGTACTGGGATGGAACTGAGCTTCCTCTGATTTTCAGTCACGTTCTGTGCATTTCAGGTGTTCACGTGTGAAGAGCACTGTGCAGAAGTGGAGGAGATTGAAGATCTGACCAGACTGGAGTAGGTGTCCTCAGTGTCTGCTGCTCATTCAGGTCACAAGGGCTTGCTTGTTATCCTGCAAAGGTGGCTCAACAATAGAAATCACATTAGCTAGACAGATTAGCTAGACCCTTAGCTGGATAGGAGAATTTCCTCTGTGGGAAAAAATAGAATTGATTGGATGTGTATCACAGCTGAGTAACTGATGCTCTGCTGAAAAGCTGAGTAAAAGACTGAATTTTAGTAGTGAATTCATGGACCTGCCCTGAACCACTGGGGAGGAGCAGAGGTGCAGAGGGAGCTCCTGACTGTGGCACAGGGAGGGCACACTGAACCCCTGCAGTCACAGCCCAGAGCTGCAGCTCAGCCTGGTTAACACACAGCTGCATCCCTGGAACTCTGCCTCTCCTCTTAAATGGTTCCCAGTCCTGAAATGGGTTCTAAAAATGCCCCAAAATACTTAAAGGGTAGGGGAAATTAGGTTTAGAGGCTGTTGTGAGTTCTGTGATGTAGCAAAAGGACAGAACTGGGAATTTAACATGCCCTTCTTGTTGTATGAAGTGAGTGGTAGGAAAGGACAGCTTGCAGGATGAGAAGCACATTGCTATGTTCTTTGCCTACTGACACTGGCATCTCTGGCTTTAGTGACTCCTGTTGCCTTCTGCTGTGAAAAACTCACGTCCTACATCTCTCAGAGCTGTGAAACCCTTGGTTCACTGCTGTTGTTGAAAGATAAGCCCCTGACACTGCTCCTCACCATCCTCCCCTCCTGCCATCCTGCTGAGATAAACACCTGTAAAGGCTCTGCAAGGGGCTGGGATCACACAGAGGAAATCCTGAGCTTTGAATGCTCCATTCTCTGACCTGTTTAATCCTGAGGATGTTGGAACCACAGAAAGGCAGTGAAAAGTTTTAGTCCCAGCTCCCCACAAAATCTTCAGTCCCCAAATGGGCCCTTCAGTTAAGAGCTGGACTCCATGATCCTTGTGGGTCCCTTCTAATTCAGAATATTCTGTGATCCTTGGGAGGGCAGAAAGGTTAATATTTAATATTAACACATGCAAGGGAAGCTTATGGCTGACAAGTCCTTTCCTCTGTTTGTAGGGAGGTCTCTGAGAGCTCAGTCCTGCTGTGCCTGAAGAAGAGATTCCATTGCAATCTCATTTATGTATGGATAGTGAGGTTTGGTTTGGTTTGGTTTGGTTTGGTTTGGTTTGGTTTTCTTCTGTGCTTATTCACTCTGAAAAATGAGCTTTAAGAGAAAAGTAATTTATGTTATGCCATCAAGCTTTAATAATGCACTATGTATCTCACTCATTACTGGGAACAATGATAAAAACTATACTCACATAGCTTTTGCTCAGAAGTCGGGTAGCATGAAATATTTGGGGTAAAATCTGGAAGTTCCAGAGTTTCTCTGTAATTTTGGTATTTGGTGCCAATTTGTGAGCATACTTGGGCTCCTTTGTAGCCTCAGCTGCTCCGAGTGGGAATCTCCTATTTTGGCAGAGAAATTCTGAGTTAAAAATTGTGGATCTTGAGAAGAAACCTCAGAGTTTCTGCTAACATTTCACGATGTTTTAGTCCACAAAGTGGATGGTTAATTGTTCCCTTTTCAATTTACTGGCTCAAGTGTTTAAACCTGTGCCTGTGATTTCATGTAGAGAATAAATAGTGACTACAAAAATGACCACAGACCAGGGAGTGCTCACTTATCCCAAACTATTCATGACAGAGATTTGAAATGACCACTGAAAAGCTGTGTCTTCAATAAGTTGGCAGTATAGTCAGAATAAATAATATTCCTTTAAAGGGAATTTGTATATTTGTTTTAATATATGCATTCATCTGCAATCCTTATTCAGAAAATTCTAAGAAGCCACCAGATTTTTTTCCCCTTTCTTATTTTTATCCTAGACTTACATTGGGGAAATTTTGATTTCTGTGAATCCTTTCAAAGACCTCAGTATCTACTCTGAAGATGTGGCTATCGAGTACCAGCAAGGGACTCTCTCAAAAAGTGCCCCGTACGTTTTTCTTTCTCAAACAACTCTCTAAACCCTGTTCTGTTTGTAAAGTATTTTATCATTCCAGAAAGTATTTTATTGTCCTCCAGTTCCCTGGTAGAGCAGGATGAATGTCACAGGAGGTGAACAGCGCATTTGGCAAAGCTGTAGTTGCTTGGGCCTATAATTCTACAGAGCTAAAGTTCATGCCAGGACGTGTCCAAGGCCAGGCTGGACAGGGCTTGGAAAAATCAGGTCTAGTGGAAGTTGTCCCTCTCCATGGCAGAGGAATGAGATGGTCTTTAAGGTCCCTCCAACCCAAAGCATTCTGTGATTTTTAGATTAAGTTTCTTTGGTGGGCCAGTGTCCCATGTCTGCTGTAGATCCCTCATGAGGAGCCTGTTGGTGCTGCACTCGTGGGGTGAAGCGTGGGGTCACTTAATGGGGGTTTCTCTCTGTCCATGCAGACACATCTTTGCCATAGCAGAGATGGCCTACACACTGTCCCAGTCGTCAGGGCAGGAGCAGTGTGTCCTCATCAGGTAGGAACTGAAGGGCTTTAGTGGAGGCCCTTTGATTTCACTATGTAAAAGTTTCACTTCTACATTTCACTGCCTGTAAGTTGATCCTTCTGGCTTGTACATGAGGGCTGCCTGTGCAGAACCTGAGTAAGGTGATTTTTATTTATTTCACTCTGTGCAAATAACAGCTTGAATTTAGTTTCACTTCAGAGGAGTGGGAGAGAAGGAGTCTGGTACTCACCAGGGGAATGTGGGCCCATTTTGTCAGGTTGTCTCAGTGTTTCAAGGGAAGGGTGATAGTTTTTCAGCTGTAAATCAGCACACCCCCTCTGACTTGCTGCAGCAGGGCCTCTGATGTGCCTGGACCTGGTACCTCTATTTTGATGCCAACTTCTCCACCTCTTGCTCCTGCAGTGGGCACAGTGGATCAGGTAAAACAGAAGCTGCCAAAGCCATTGTGCAATACCTGACCATGCTGTACCAGGGATCTGACAGCCACAGGATCAGACAGGTAACAGGCAAGTGAGCTTGGCTAGAGACCACGAGGGTTGGGCAGGGAGGAGAAGCCAAACCAGGGCAGGGAGGCTGCTGCTGATGGTATTTCTTTGGCTGCACTTGGGAGGGTTTGTGGTCCAAGGTGAAGCTCCAGTAAAGACTAGAGGAGAGCTACAAGGTGTATTTGTAGTTGTGTATTTTAATAGCTGGGAGATCTGATGCTGTGGAAAGTGCTGGGTCTGTTTGAACAGAGAGCTGGTTGCTGCCAAGGAGAGCTTTTAGCAGTCTGGGAGGTGAATCAGAACAAACACAGAGCAGAAGTAAAGTGAAAGATTATAGCAGTGAGAGCAAAGAGCTCACAGAACAGCTCACCACTGCCTAGAGATAATGATACAGGATACATTTTAAAAGACATCTTTTACCCTTGTGAGAATTATATCAGTGAAGTCCCATTTTTTTGTTTATCTTTTCAAACTGACAGGTACATAAACCCTTGTGAGTTTAAAACCTGTGATTGCTACTGAAGTGTTCCCTCCTCTTTTCTCTACAGCCCTGCAATGTCCTTCCCATCCTGGAGAGTTTTGGAAATGCAAGAACCATCCTCAATGACAACTCCAGCCGTTTTGGAAAGCTGCTGAGTGTCCACCTGCGACAGTGAGTGTTGAAAATCCCCTCGGGTCCCTCCAAGGGGTGTTTGGGTGAGACCAGGGGGAGCAGTGCTGAGAGCTCTCACATTAACCCTTCCTTCTTGCTATCATCAGGGTAGGAAGAGGGTGAGTTTAAACCCCTATTTTGCTTTTTTGTGTTTCCTCCCAAAAGAACAGTTCTTGGTTCCCAAGATGAGTTAAATTAAGAACATAAAAATGGCTGAACTGGTTTATACCAAGGGCCCATCTGATGCCCTGCAGTGTCCCCAGCACTGACCTCAAGCACTGCCTGAGGCAACAACATCCCAAATAGAAGCAATGCTTTTCCCTAAAACCCCTTGAGCTCTTGAACATTTGCAGCAACTCAGGAGTTTTCCTCAGTCTCCTGAGGTATTCCAGTTTCCTCTTGGGCTCATACAACCTTGATGTTTCTGCAACAGCCTTCCAGAGTTCCACAGGTCTAACCAGTTCTGTGAAAAACACCTTTCTGTTTTGAGCCTGCCTCCTTTCTAACTTCTGGATTTGGGTGGTTTTTGTTTGGGGATTTTCCCTGACTGTTGCCAAGCCCTGAGCTGATTCTTTCATGGAGCTGTCTATCATAACCTCAGGTCTCAGTCCTAAGGAGCAATGGTTAAATTTGAGCCTGTCTGTTTATATGTGAAGCTGGGTCTGTACCCATCACTTCACATTTGTCTACTGTGGGCTTCATGTGTCATTTTCTTGTTCACTCACTCTGCACTGTAAGGTCTGTCTGCATTTATTCACAGTTGGCCTTCGTCCTCACTGAATAATTTCATACAAGCAGGAAGCTTTGTCCCATTGCTGTTCAGCTTCTCTTCTAGGTCACTTATCAAACCCTCACAGGTCAGGTGCAGACACTTTGTGGAACTCTGATGGTTGTTTCACACTGTTAAGGGAATTCACCTTTATTCCGACCCACATTATGACTTTCCTTCTTATTCTGTGCTTGCTTTGTTTCCATGTAAGTCCCACAATTTGCTGAAATATTTTAGAAATTCATGTAGATTGTGTCCCTAAGATCATTCTTATCTGCAGAGACACAAATCTGCAGAAAAGCTGTGCCCAGGTTCTGACAGGATCTGTTGTCTTCTGCTCAGTGGCATTGTGGTGGGAACATCCATCTCCCAGTACCTGCTGGAGAAGTCTCGTGTGGTGTTTCAGGTGAGGACCAGGGCCCCCCTCTCTCTCTTATTAACATTTAATCTTAAATTTACTGTTAAATAACAGAGGTGGGAATTACTATGAGAATTGCTTCCCATTTCTTCTACCAGCAAGAGCTATGTCCCCTCCATGTAGCACAGGGGGGTCACTTCTGTTATTTGAATAAAATAGAAGGTTTCTCTGTCTCAAACTGGTTGAATTAAGCCCCTTATTAGGGATTATTGAAAGTTGAATCTTCCCTCCATTAGTTTTTCTGAATGTCTGGAGTGTGGGAATAGTCAGATATCAGAGCTGTGTGAAAAGGACTTTTCCCAGAGGGAGTGGTGTCAGTGGGAGCCCTGGTCCTGCTCTGTGAGTGTGTTCTGGGGCTGTTTGGGGCTGGATGTGGATCAGCTCCATGGCTGTGTCCCATCAGGCCCATGGTGAGAGGAACTACCACGTGTTCTACGAGCTGCTGGCAGGGCTGCCCATGGAGCAGAAAGAGGAGATGTACCTGCAGGAGGCAGAGTCCTACTTCTACCTGAACCAGGTGAGCGAGCTGAGGGTGCTCTGCAGCAGCTGCCACAGAGAAATGGCCCAGGCATCGCTGCTGTTGGCTTACAGAGGCACCAAATCACTCTGGCCCCTGCAGAAAGTCAGCTCTGCTCCTCCTCATCCTCTGCTCCTCATACCTGATCCAAGAACCAACATCTTTGTCTCTTTGGTGATCATTTTCTCACTTCTCTGGCCCGTTCTACTCTGAAAGGACGAACTTAAATCGTTGTGTAGACTCATGGCTCCATCGTGTGGTGTAAAACCCCTTTCCTCATTGCCTTTCCTTGCATTTGCAATTTACTGTGGGACTGCAAAAAGCAGGGAGGATTTCTTTCCATCTTCTGCAAAACACTTCCTTTATTGTCAATGAGTGCAGATTTTAAACCACTGAAATACACTGCTGATTGCAATTATTTAAACTGAATTTGTTTGTCAGACTTACATCAAGTCACAAAGTCGTAATCTTGGAACACTTTTTTTTCTTTTCTTCTTCTTTTTTTTTTTTTTGGTGTTTTTTGTTTTGTTCGAGATATTTTAAGGTTGTTTTCCATAATCAAGGAGGTCACAACAACAGCAAGAAATTTTTCCTCTTTCAGTGTGAGTCAGCTTTCCCAGGTGGCAAATTCGAATTCCTCACAGCAGCTGTGGTCAGGAGGAATCCTCGGTAGTGATTTCTATCTCCTCGCCTTGGGGCAAGGAATGGACCATTGATGGCTCTAGGATGGAGGGCAATTAAGGGCCCAGCCCCTAATGAGTGATTAATGGTACCTGGCCGGCAAAGCATTGTAAAGCAAAATCATATTCAAGGTGAAAATTAACAGGAATATCCCAGCCTGCTGCAGAGAAAGGAAGGGAAAATCAGATTATGCACAAAAGAGTTAGCAGAGATTGAAAAAAATCTATCTTGGATTTTGGCAAGAAGAAGCCCAAGGGCTGCTTGGACCTCATCCTTGTCTCACCAAAATCTGCTGGGAGCTGGGAACTATGGAACTGGAACACAAACAGGTTCTGCAGAACCCTTGACCCGGGATTTCTGTGACCTTCAGGGTCACAGGCAGCTGCTGGGAGTGTCCTCCTGTAGAGAATAAAAGAAGCAGAGCAGTGATGAACCCGTGTTGTGGTGGGGCTCCGTGGCTGAGATGAGACAGGCTGTAACCCTGGGTGGCTCCCTGGCTTTACAGAACCCATCTGGCTCCATTGGGGAGCTGCTCTGCCATGATTTACCTGGGACTCCACTCAGGCACCACTTCTGTCAAATTCCACCCCGGCATCCTGGGGAGCTTGTACTGGAATTCCAACAGAAACTTGGCAGGTGAGGGTAAGAGAGATCTTAATCTCAAAACTCCACAGGGTAAAGGCACTGCCCCCTCACAAATGCTGAGTTTCAGCTAGTGCTGTCTTTCATCTCTTCAGATTCCTCCAGTCTTTAAAAGATAGAACCATTTCTCTGAAGATTGCTGATGGTGGCTTAAGCCCTGCCTGAGGCTGAAGGGGCTGATCACGATTATCTGTCCCTTTTCTCTCAGGGCAGAGCATGTGAAGTCCTGGGGAAGGAGGACAGTCATGATTTTCAGGTCTTGGTGCAAGCTCTGGAGGGAATTGGCCTCTCAGAGGATCAGCTGAGCTCCACCTGGGCTGTCCTGGCTGCCATCCTGCAGCTGGGGAACATCTGCTTTACCTCCTATGAGGTACAGTAACCCCAGCAGCTTGGGAACAGGATATTTGTGCTGGATATTGCTGCTGTGCTATGTGGTGGGACCGAGGACATGATTCCTACTGAGGACGGCATCCTTTGAGGACCTTTCTGTCCTTTCAGTGCTGGGCTCCAGACTGGTCTGGGCAGGGACAGAAGGTGGGAGGCAACCAAAGGTCGCTGGAGCTTGGGTGGGTTTTTAAGGAGCCAAAATGAACCTGGTGCTCTGCCCAGGCTGTGACCAGCTCTGTGCAGCTGAGGTGAAGTTGAGAATATTAATACAAGAGGAACCTTGTATCCCATCCATCGTTCCTATCTATAATATATAGTAATATAGATAATAATTTATGTACAGTAATATATGTGAAAAACACGTTCACTCTTCTGTGAAAATTTCAAAAGTTTAATAAATGACAATAAGAGACAAGGACCATAGAGCAAAGGTTATTAAGGCTGGGTGCATCCTGGCACTCAGCCAAGAGCACCCTGTTCTCTCCAGAGATACCCCTTAAATACCTTTTCCCTTACATCATCTGTTGCATATTCATAAACCCTTATGTATAGTAAACTTTTCCCCAAACTTTTGGACATATTTTTACATGGCCCCTCCTTGGATCTGCCTTTTTAGAGCATGCAGATCCGTTGGTTGTGGTTTTAGTCCATTTTTACCACCAGCTTCAGTTTTGGGCCCTGGCCCACACTGCCTTCAGAAGGTGAGTGCTGATAGCTGGCAGATCTGTACAGGTGTCCTCATCCTGTGTGCATTGGATGTTATCCCATCCAAGCAGGCATTTTAACACAAGCAGCTATTCCACTGAGCTTAATTAACAACAGAAATAAAACCTCTATCTTTATAACAAAGTTACTTTAACACCACACATATAAAATCCATGTTCATATTGAAAAGCCAATATTATAATATGTATTTATAACATATATAATAAAGAACCCTTTGTTATTTAGAAAGACTCCTTTGAACATGCAGCCATCGCCAGTGGGGCTGAAATTCAGATTGTGGCCAGTCTGCTGTGTGTGTCAGCAGAGCTGCTGCAGAGGGCTGTCACTCACCGTGTCACTGTGAGTCCCTTCTGGTGATTTCCCATTCCTCCTGAAGCATCCCATGTCCTGCCCCACTGTCCTAAACTTAGAAGGCTCAAAATCTGGGGGGCAACAGCAGGAATGAAATGATTGGGGTGGGCTGAGCCCCTCAGGGCAGCTCTGTAAAGATGGCAGAGCTCACATCTAGGAGGGCTCTTTTCTGACATGAGTGGCCTCAGGTTTATCACTTTGGCCAGTTTACTCTCACCTCTGACAGCAAAATTCTGGGTGTAAAAGTTAAAAAATTTTTCTTTTGATATCTGGGTAAATGCTCAGCCAAATAGAAAAAAAAATCCATTTATTGACTGAGCTGACTACCTTGTGGATTAAAAAAAAAAAAAAAGGTGTTTTTGTGAGCTAATAAGAGTAAATTCTGTCTCTTTATGTATCCAGGTTACATCTTATGATCGGATATTCACCCCTCTGTCTGTAGAAGGAGCCATTGAGGCCAGGTGACTCCTGCTGATGTCTGGGTGGGTGAGATGCACCCAGAGGTGCTGTCTTTGCAGTAACTGGCTCTTCTCCCCCTCCCACTCAGGGACTCCATTGCCAAGGCTCTGTACTACCTGCTCTTCGAGTGGCTGCTGCTGAGGATCAATGAGTGGTTGGCTCCCTGGGAGTCTGACTGTGCCGTGGGCATTGTGGACCTCCATGGCTTTGAGGTTGTTTTCCATCTTCTTTTGCTGTGGCCTGGGCAGTGAGGGCATGTGCTCACCAAGGCCTTGCAGTGTTTTATTTAGGGCTCCTGTTAAAACCTGTGTCCCAATGGATGCTGAAAACAATGGAATACAGAGGTGGGGCTGTGTATCCAAGAGTAGATCTTTCTTTCTTTGTGCTCCTTCACAGCTTGTCTCACCTCTGGCTGTTCAGCCTGGTCAGTGAGCCAGACTGAGAGCCTGCAAACCAGACAGAAGGTGGTTTGAACTGCTGGGTTCATTCCCACTGGCCAGAACCAGCAGCTCAGCTCAGCTGGGCCTGTGCAGCACTTAGAGGGAGCCACAGCCCCCGGGCCTGGGAAGGGATGGATTTTTGTCTTTGCAGGATCTGGGGGTGAACAGCTTAGAGCAGCTCTGCATCAACTTTGCCAATGAGCACCTGCAGAGGTTCTTCAGCCAGACTGTCATTGCCCAGGAAGAGGTGAGTGGGGCTCAGTGGAATTCACAGCACCTGGAGCCAGCACACCTGGACTGAGCTGAGGCACCCTCAGAGTGTCCCTCAGCAGGGAATAGGAAACGGAATGCTCCTCTTAGGCAATCCTAGGGAATCCTAGCCCAAAGAGTTGCCTATTTAATACCTTTTATTAATTATACGGTAAATTGAGAGAAGGAGATTTTGTCAGCACCTTGCTTTCTTTTCCAGATTTTCAAAGTGAGTTGGGCAGGGTCAGAGCCCAGACCTCAGTGGGTGCTTTAAAATCCTTTTTGGCTTCTTTGTAGCATTTTCTGTGCCACTTATGTCCTGGGGATGAAAGTGTATTTATCAGACTTGTTGACTTCTACAGTTCACTTTATCACTCAGCTTAGCAGCCTTCTTCTCTCAAACCAGGAAAATCATTAGTGGCTTCAGAAGTAGTTTCATGAGACAAAACCAGACAATTCTAGGCAAGTTCCTAACAGCAGTGAAACTCTAACTTCCTGATAAACAACCCAAATCCCTCTGTTAATTCTCTCCATTTGTCCTTGTTTGTGTGGCTGGATTTGGCCTTTAACATGCAGGAGGAATACAGCCAGGAGCAGTTGGCTTGGATTCCTATTTCCAAGACGTGCAGCGAGTCGTGCCTGGATTTCCTTACTGCAAAACCCCACGGCCTCCTGTGCATCCTGGATGACCAGACATCCCTGACTCAGGTGAGGAGCTCCCAGCCTCTCATGGGATCCCTTTCAGAGAATGGTTAAGGTGAGGCTGTTTTCCAGAATGATTGCACAAGTGTTCAGTGTTTTTACCTTCAGTTTAACAGTGACTTTTCAGCCTACCAAGAAAGGCTGAAAGAAGAAAGGCTGAGGTTGCAGCATCAGGAAATCTCTTTTACAGGCCACAGACCACACTTTCCTCCAGAAGTGTCATTACCACCATGGAAACAGCCCTTGGTACAGCAAGCCCAAGCTGCCTTTGCCAGAGTTCACTGTGCAGCACTATGCTGGCCCTGTCACCTACCAGGTGAGCTGGCAGGGACTCAGAGCAGAAATAACCAGAAATAAGCTGTGGGTGTCCTGACGGACCAGCTCTGGGACCAAAGCTCTCCCCTTGTGACTGCCACTTCCCTCCAGAGCATCAGCTGAGCAGAAGAGAGGAGATTGTTATAAAGAGAGCCAACTAAGCTGTCTCTGGGCAGAAGGAAAATAGGAATTGCCCTCAGTGACACAACAGCTTCAGAGCCCTGGAAATGCAGGAAAGCTGTGGCTGCTGGGCAAAAAAAAAGAAACCAAACAAAAAGAGAGGTGAAAGCCTGCAAGGTGATGTGGAGGAGAAAAGCAGCAATCAATTCTCAAAGCAGAAGCCATTGTCCCCTCTACCCTGGTGGCAGCAGGAAGAGCTAGCCTCATTCTCCAGGGCTTTTCTCTTTTCCAGCTCTCCAGCTGCCTGTCCCCAGTCCCAGTGTGTGTAACGGGGGTGTGTGCCTGTCTGAGTGGTCTGAACGGTGCTTTAAATCAGACTTTACCCCTGCAGGTGCACAAGTTTCTCAGTAAAAACCGTGACCAGCTGCGGCCAGAGGTGCTGGATATCTTCTCCCAGAGCCGCCTCAAGGTACAGAAATGGTCAGGAGGAAGATCTCTATTGCAGACACCCAATGATCCACTCATTGTCTTAATGTGAGAGGCAGAAAGATGCTGAACAGGTGTCAGGAGAACATAGAGAAGCCACAAGTTTTATTTTACTGAATTTACTTGGGAATTGGGCAAATTGTCTTTGCCCACAATTGATGCACTTTCCATATAAAACACAGAGAGCGCCTGAGGATGCAGCTGCATTCCTGCCACTGCCAGGGGCAAGAGAAAATAACCCCCTTAAGTTTCAGGTTGAAGAGATTCTTCTTTCCACAACGTTCAGTGGGTTTTGGTAATTTCTTTGTTTTTGCAGGTGGTGTCTGAGATTTTCCAGAGGGCTAAAGCTGCCTATGGTCAGCGAAGGGAGCTGAGGGGCAGAGGGCTCAGGCCTCAGGCCTCCACACTGGTGTCCAAATTCCAGCAGTCTTTGCAGGACCTCACAGCCAGGCTGAGAGGGTGAGAGATGCTGCTAGCACACAGAGGTGTGGAGTGTTCCAGGGGCAGCATGGAGAGGAGGGTGATCCAAAGTTCTTCTTTGTTTTGCAGGAGCCATGCCTTCTTCATCCGCTGCATCACCCCTAACCCCAGGAAGGTAGGGCAGCACCCCAAGCTCCTTATGGAGTCCCTCAGGTCCTTCATTCTCCTCCAACAGCTCTCCATTCACAGCTGGGATTTAAACTTCTTTGTTTTATTTGATAGCTTGAGACTTTTCTTCCCCATCGTTCTGTGTCCCACCTTTCCCAGTGGCCATGTGAGTTAATCCCGTGCTGCAGGAGCAGAACCAGGGTCAGCTGGACACCAAAGTATTCCTTGGGCTTTGTGTTCCATGGCCCAAGGCCTGTGGCAAGATCCAATCCAAGGACAGGACAAGAGAAGGAGTCCCTTTCTAAACCCCCTGCCTTCAGTCTCCTTTCTTTCATTTTTCTTTATTTCTTGTTTTTAATTTTTTTCTTCTGCTTTATCTTCTCAGCTGTCAAATGTCTTTGATGTGGAATATGTCAACTGTCAGCTGCGACATTCTGGGATACTGGAGGCCATCCACATCCTGAAGGAGGGGTTCCCAGTCCATCTACCATTCCAGAGCTTCCTGGCCAGGTACAGGGGTGCCCTGGCTTGGGATCCCCCAGCCCTGGAGGATTTGTTCTCTGAGGACTCCATGTCCAGCCCTGGTTTTGGTCACACCCTCTCCTCCTGTGCAGGTACGGGCTCCTGGCTGGGAGCAGCCTCAGCAGCTTGGAGCAGAGGGAAGGCTGTGCAGCAGTGCTGGCCCACGTGGTGGGGAACCTCTCGGATCTCTACCAGATTGGGGTGACAAAGGTGATGTCTACAGACAATCTCATCCGGATTGCACAGCCCCACCCACCATGCCCAGGCTGGCAAAGCAGGAGAGGAGCTCAGCCTCTGCCCACAGAGGGAGGGCCTTGCACACCTTCCCCTCTCACCTTTGCCTCTTGTCCCAAGTACTAAGAAGGCATTTTTAGCACTTCAGATTACCAGGAGATTCCAGCTCCAGGCTATTGTGGCATGGCCAAGCCCTTTGTATACCCAGCATTCCTGGGCTTCTACTTTTGCTACCTGCTAACCTTCATCACTCCCTGATTCCCTGTCCTCCCCAAATGCATCCGTCTCTGCCACTTGCACCTGTGCCTCCTGCCCTCCCCAGTCTCCTTAGCAAGAGCCCTTAAAGGCTACAAAGGAATAAACCAGCAGATTTTATTATTGATCAGCTCTGGGAGAAGCTGCTGCTTGCCTGTGGGTCAGCAGCTGCTGCCTTTGCCCAGGTGTTTCTGAAGGAGAAGGGCAGGCAGCTGCTGGAGAGGCGGTGGCAGCAGAGGCAGAGCTGGGCCGTGGTCACCCTGCAGAGGAAATTCCGCCGCCTCCTCCAGCGCCGGCGCCTCCGCGTGCTCCAGGAGAAAGTCACACTGATCCAGGCTCACTTCCGAGGCTACCAGGCCAGGTCAGGAGCCAGGGGACAGCCCTAAGGCCTTGCCAAGGGACAGCCAAGAGACAGCCAAGGGACACCCTTTGGCCTTGCAAGGGACAGCCCAGGGACAGCCCTCTGGCCTTGCCAAGGGACAGCCCAGGGACAGCCCAGGGACAGCCAAGGGACAGCCAAGGGACAGCCAAGGGACAGCCCCTTGGCCTTGCCTAGGGACATCCCAGGGACAGCCAAAGGACACCGTTTGGCCTTGCCAAGGACAGCCAAGGGACAGCCAAGGGACACCCTTTGGCCTTGCCAAGGACAGCCAAGGGACACCCTTTGGCCTTGCAAGGGACAGCCCAGGGACACCCTTAGGCCTTGTCAAGGACAGCCCAGGGACAGCCAAGGGACAGCCCCTTGGCCTTGCTAAGGGACAGCCCAGGGACAGCCAAGGGACAGCCAAGGGACACCCTTTGGCCTTGCAAGGGACAGCCCAGGGACAGCCTTTGGCCTTGCCAAGGGACAGCCCAGGGACAGCCCAGGGACAGCCAAGGGACACCCAAGGGACACCCTTTGGCCTTGCCAAGGGACAGCCAAGGGACAGCCCAGGGATAGCCAATGAACAGCCCAGGGACAGCCCAGGGACAGCCAAGGGACACCCAAGGGACACCCAAGGGACACCCTTTGACCTTGCCAAGGGAAAGCCAAGGGACAGCCCAGGGACAGCCCTTAGGCCTTGTCAAGGGACAGCTCTTTGGCCTTGCCAAGGACAGTCCAGGGACAGCCCTCTGGCCTTGCCAAGGGGTAGCTAGGTGGGGATGTCCAGGCCCCTCCTCATGTTGGCTGCTGGCCTGCTCTGTGTATGTCTGTGTGGCTGATGTGTCCCCCATCAGACAATTCTTTCCTCATCCTCTAGGAAGCGTTACAGGAGGCTGAAGAAGACTTTGGTGCAATTTAAAACCGTGATTGTGATCTCCAGACCTTTGATTCAGTGGAGGAAGCGCTGCCAGGTAACAGCAGAGCAAGGTGTGCAGGAGGGGCTGTTCTGCCCTAAGCAGAGTGAGACTGGGTGAGGCCAGGGCAGGGATGGCTTTGGAAGATTTGCCGGCAGTGAGGTGAGGTGTCCTCACCCAGGGAGGTGTCCTTCACCCTCTGTCTGACACAAATGTCAAATGAAGGAAGCAGAGAGGCTGGAGCCTTCTCTCTCTAAACGACATGCTCAGTTGGCACAGGTATTGCAAACAGAGCTGATTCATGGGCCAGGCTGTGTGAGCCAGGGTGGGGATGCTGCCTTCAGGTTTAGCTTTTATATTTTTCAGATTGTGTACTGCATCAGTGTATAACTCTGAACTCCATATGGAATTTTAGTAAGCTCTCTTCACAGTTTGGTCAGACAAAACAATCCTTCCAGGCCTGAGAACCAAGGACAGCCTCAGGCCTGAAAAATACAAACAAAAGGGAGTTGGGGGAAGCAAACTGGGAGAATGTGACTTCATTACCTGAAGCTGTAATTGAACAATTAACCCCTGATATGCAGATAGACCAAACTTGTATCTGTCTGAAAAACTCATGACCATTGTCCATCTTGGGTGTAGCCTCTGCCAGGCTCCTGCACTGCCCAAGGTGTATCTGTTGAAGGCCTTTAATGAATACCCACTTTATTGTCTAACACAGTCTAGCCTCTGTTCTAGGCAGCCACTCCAGATATCACTGCCCTACATGAGACAAGAGCTGGTGCCCTCTGTGCTCTTCAGAGCTGCTGTTCTGCTCAAGCTCTAAGGAGGCATTCATCTTGCTTTTTTTGTTGCCCAGGTCAATTACTGATGGTGACTGAATTGCAAGATTCTTTCAGTCCATGATGATCCTCCCTGATCCCTCACAGCTGCCTCAGGCTGCTCAAGCCATTGGCCCCTTGGAAGTCAGCTGGGGTGAGAACAGGATGGCAAGTTTTTGAGAAGATGGAAAATAATGTGCAGGAGAGAGCCATGGTTCTGTCCAGTGGGTATAATGTATTCTGCACAAACTATTGCGATAAAATTGGGAAATTAAAATTTTGCACATGAAGGGTAAGGGCCATTTCCTTATTATTAAAGGGCCATTTCCTTACTATTAAAATAAATCTGGAAAGAGGAAATCAGACCATTCTTCCTTAGAGTAGCAGTAACATCTCACAGCTTCAGCTTTACAAGGGAAGGACCCAGCTCCTGGCATGGCTGAGGGCATGGTGGGGCAGAGGGCTAAGGACAGTTGATGCAGACCTGCAGAGGTGCCTCCTTCAGCATGAGTTTCTGTTCTGTTTCTTGCCCTTCCCACTTGGACAGGATCCAGATTTTCTTTCTCCCAGGTAACCACAACAGTGCAACTCTTTTGAATCTGTTTCTGTTCCTTCAGTGTTTGTTTGCTGAGGTCTCTGTACATGCAGTAGCAGCAGCAAAGGTCTCAAAGTTCACCTGCTGCAAAGTTCCTCCTTTCCCCCACCCCACAGCCCTGCCCTTTGGACTTTAGCTTGTCACTGTCTTTCTCAGCCCAGCCCTCATAAGCTCCCATGTAGTCTCAGTGCTCTGCACCACTGACAGGCAGGAGAGAGGCAGAGAAGGAGCCAGAGATCCTCCTTCCCCATCTCAGGTGAGTGATGAGGCTGGGGAGCAAGAGAATGGAAGGAAAAGGGCAGAGCTGTGAGGGAGTTTAGCTTTTGGCATCCCTCCCACCTTTCTAAAGGATTTCCTCTCCATGGACAAGTTCATCTGTCCTGTTCAGGCTGTTTTCAGGTGCTCTGGTGCTGAAGGAGGTGGGTGAATATTTCTGGCAGCTGCTGGGAGCTTTTGTCCTGAGCCACATCAGATGGCCAGCAAGGGAAGGTGTGGCAGGATGCTGGGCAGGTGCTGCAGGCTCTTGCTGCTGGGTTGTGCCAGGAAGGGCAGGAGGTGTTTCAGCAAAGCCCAGGTCTCTGCCTGGGCAGCCCCTTCTCAATACACTGAGTTGGGGTCCCAGGAAGGCTCTGTAGCTGTTCTGTCATTCCATCTGCTGGAGCAGGACACCATCTCCTGGCCACCCTCAGCATCTGCCCCCAGAACAGCTGGAATTCACTTCATGCACATATCTTCCCACCCTCTATCCCCTTTTCATCTCCTAACAGCAGGATTTAGAGGAAAGGAAACAAAGAAGGAGCTCCCTGGCCTGTGCTGACACAGGAAATAGTCCCAGCCAAGGAATGGTGAGTTGTCAAATGGTCTGGGAGGGTCTGAGATCAAAACAATCAGGTTCTCCAGGTGTTCTCCCTCCCTTGTGCCTCCTCAGGCCAGGTTTGCTGGGGAACAGCAGAACATCTAGAGAAAGCCCACACATGTCTGGAACCTGGTACAGAATGCAGGTTAGATGGTGCCAAGGGCCTTCTAATACAGAAATATCTCATTAGTTCAGTGTTTCCCATGCTCTGGGCACAGCCAGGCACCGTCAGCCAGTCCTGAGCCAGAGCTCTGTGTTTGCTCACAGCACTGACCTGCTCTGCAGAGGAGGAGGGAAGATTATTTTTGGCAATCATCTTCTGTTGTGAGGGATGGGAATGAGACATTTCTGCACAAATGTATTAACAGAAGCTGATGTAGAGGAAGGGATGTGTTAAATGCTTCACAACACTTTTAGCCTGTATCAACACTTCTAACTAATGCCATTATTGATGTCTGTTGACTGGACACACATTTGCTGCAGTGTCTGTATCAAGGGAATCTGAATTGATATTATCCACAATTCTGTATAGATCTGTCAGTAACAACAAGAAAAATTAGCCCTGGGTGCTCATCCACCTTCCCCAGGTGTGGATCCAGAACTGTGGAATTTTGCAGTCCTCTTCCTGAATGCACCATTGAAAAGCCAGACTTGAAGTCAAGTATCTTATAAGCAAAATCAAACTGATCAAAAATGCTGTGAATGTGTCTTTGTGGAGAGAGATGTCAGAATAATGTGCTGATGACAAGAGGCTGTACTATGCAGATCTTAAAAAAATCCCCAAAAAACAAGAAATAAAAAAAAACCCAAAACCTCAGGTTTTGGGACCTTAGCTTGGTTTTATAGTGCCTTAATCTGAGTAGTTCTGTCTGAAATGCCCTGAGCTGACTCTACATGCAGTGATGCTGACCCTGTGTTGTATTGGCCCACCTGCTTCCTACCCTGCAGCAGTGCAAGGTGCAAACCAGTGAAAAATCAAAACTCATTGGCCAGATTCTCCTCTGGATTACCCAGATACAGATCTGAGCTTTCCTAGGAACCTCCAACATATATCAAAGATCAGATCAGGTCTCACTTTATGCTGTAGCACCTTTGGATACAGAAAAATCAAAAGAAAACTGTCAGGAAAGGGCAGGAGGAAATGGCCCTTACCCTTCAGGTGCAATCTCTACAGTGCAATGTGCCACACTTGATAGGAATAAGGGATGAGTCAAAGAAATCCAACTTTCCTGTCCTTCCCCTTGTGGCAGTTGATATTTTATTTGGGAATTGCTCCCCTTTCCCTCCTGAGCTGACCCATGTCACAAGCTGTGTTCATGCAATACCTCCCTGCCTGCAATGGCTCTGAATGTTGCGGACGCAGAAGTCACTGCTTTGGCTCAGATGCTCCATCCCTGTCCTGGCAGCTTCTCCAAGGCAGTTTCACCCACTCTCAGCTCAGGCTTTTATGTGTTTTTTTCTCTGACTTGTTTCTGACTGTTTTGTTTCTGTCTCCAGGACGTGGGGCTGCTGGAGATCCCTGCAGAGCTCGCAGCCCTCCTGCACTTTGTTGAAGGTGAGAAATCCTCCTCCTTCCCTCTCTTTCCTGCACTGTTTCACTGACTATTTCCTTGTTTTTATCAAAGTGTGTCTTTGTTCTCCCTGCTGCCTGTCACTGGGCTGGTTTTGATTCGTTATCATTTTTGCAGTGTAAATATGATAAAGGCAAACGGTACCTTGGATGTTGTTTCCTGACACGGTAGGGAGGAAAAGCAACTTGGGCCAGGGGGCAGAACACCAGCTTGAAAATCAGTATATTTGTTAATTTTTCAGCTCTTCTTTTGAACTGGGCTGGTAAATCTGATAGCAGGGATGATGCAAAACTCTTTGGTCAGTTATGTGACAGCAAACTGCTTAGTGAACCCAGGTCTCTGGCAGAGATGAGTATCTGGGGTGGAAAAACTTACACCCATCTTTTACCTACTCTAAAATCCTTAAGGAAGTTGAAGGGGAAGAAAACAACAGTTTTGACAATTTCCAAGAAATATTTTTAGGTTTCATTAAAAATTATTTCCTCAAAACAAAGTTTAAAATAGAAGGAAGGATAAATAGGTAACAGCTTGACTGTGGAACAATGTAATAACTTGAGATATAACAATTTATCAGTCTGAGGACATAACAATATGATAACTTAAGGATGTAACAATGTAATAAATTGAGTATGTGTTAATTGATTAATTTATTAATTTTATTAATTTAGTATTAATTTAGTAATGAGTATGTGTTAATTTATTAATTTATCAATTTAGGGATGCACCAATTGGATTTCAAATCACCAAAATAAGTGCAATAATTTCACAAGCTGTTGATCTGACCCTGAGCATTAAGTTTTGTGCAGCTGTGTTTCCTCTGTAGCTCCATGTACAATGTGAATATTTAAGCTGCAAATAGGCTGAGGCAGGATTTGCCTCTCTGTGTCTGTGTGGTGTCAAAGCCAAAGCCAGCTGTGCCTGTGGCCTTCTGTGGGGGACAGTGAGGGACACGATCAGGCAGGAGAGTCTGGTGAATTGGAGCAGACTGTGCTGGATTCCCAAATAGCTCACATTTCATGGCAGAGCCCTGCAGGGACTATCAGCTGGTCTAGTGAGCAATGTAAGCCAGAGGGGCTCAGGGAACAGTGAGACTGCTGGAAATGAAAGCTGATGGGATGTAAATGGGGAGGATTGGAGAGCATCAGGGACACAGCTGGAGAGAGAGGAATGCACAGGAGCTGTGCTGCACTGAGAAACGCCTTCATTTAGTGATGTTTGCTCCTCTCTTATCCCTGAGAAATCCCTCATTACAAAGACCTCTCATTTCCTGTGGACTGGGCAGCTGTCAGCAGTATCTGTATGAGCTCAGCATTTCCTGCCCGTAAATGCTGCAGTGCAGCCTTGAATCGCCAGGTGCTCCCTGGGGAGAGTGGCCTGAACGATCAGAGCTGTAAAATCTGAGTCCTTGTGCTCCCAGGGAGGTGAGGCTGTGCCTGCTGGGGGTCTGAGGCTGTCCCTGCAGCCAGGGCTGGGTCAGGGGCTCAGCAGGGCGAGGTGCAGGTCAGCAGGAGCTGCTCTGTGAATTGTTGGTGTCCTGCCACCCCACCAGACCTCCTTCCCTTGCAGGCCGACACCAAGCACAGACCAACCAGATAACTGAGACACAGCCCCCAGAAGTGAAGGTCAAGGATGACCTTTCCCTCCCACCCACCATCAACAGCCATCCCTTCTCCTCCTTCATCAAATCACACTTCCAGGTGGGAACTCTTTATCTCCCTTCACTGCCTCCCCTGTGGGCAGACACACTGGTTTTAGCAGCACCAGGAGCAAATATTTCTATCTTTATTTTGTTTCATTGTAGAAGCCAGATTTCCCTGCCCCTGGTCAGCCTCTGCAGCACCCCTTAACCCACCTGGATGCCAAACACCAGGAGAGTGCACTTGAGATAAACAAACTGGTAAGAGATGTTGTTCTTGACCTGGCTGGGAGCAGGTGGGCACAGACAAGGTTTTGATGCCTTTATACAACAAGTTGCTGGTGGTGGATACTGTTCTTACAACACATGGAGGGCTGGAAAAGCAGAATAAATTGCTCCTTCTAGGCCCTGGAGCAGCCTGACAGAGATCACACACAGCCCCTTAAGGTTGCTGGGTTTTGGGGAGGCACAGACCAGGCACAGACTACTGGGATCAAAGTGAATTCCTGGTGATGGAGCCTCAGAATTTGGCAGGACATATACGAATAGGACTGCTAAACTTTAACATCCCAATATTCCAGACTCAATAGCAATTATAAGGGAAGTCTGTCTCAACCACTTACTTGTCTGTCAGTCATAAAAATGTTTCATTTAACCCAGATATTTTCCATGATGTGTTTTATAGCAAACATCTCAATTGCACCTCGGGCTCACAGATGTGTCAGTACCCAACAGGGGACAGGGAACTGTTGTTGAAAGGCTGGAAAAGGGCAGGGACTTTGTCATCAGGAAAAGTACACCTGGAACCACACCCTCACTGTAGTGTTTGTGTGAAGGGGATGGTGCTATTTCATCTCTGTGGGTATAAAACATCTATTTCTTTATATTTCTTCTTTAAAATGGTTGAAAATAGAATGAAACTCCAGATACTTTCTAAGTAAATCTGGTCATCTTTTTGGGAATTACATGGAATTAAAATAAGCCCATTAAGAAACTTAATACCTAAAAAGAGTCTCTTGTTTTGTCCTTGTGATCCCAATTATAGAAGAGCATAAGCTTCAATAAAATCTTGTGAATAGGATTGTGTTTAAGCAGAACACTATTATTTTTCTAAAGATCAAAACTTGCTAATGAAGTAGGGATTTGCTGCAAAGAATTCTATGAGAACTAAACAACCACCATCCCCTGTTTTTCTCAGTGAATCTCTGACACACTTGGTACTATTAAGTGGTTTTAGAAGTGTTGTTATGCTTAAATGTTCTTTCCAAAGCTGTTGATTTAAAAAAAAATATTTGTAACATATTGAAGTGCAGAGGATGAAAGAAACCATTCTGTACCTAAGGGTGAGAAATACAAACTAAAAAAGCATTGAAGATGTTGATATGCATAGCCAAGAAGCTGAATCACTTCAGTGACTGTATTGAGACACCACATCCCATAGTACTTGGTATAATATTAACTGTACCAAAGGCTTTGAACACTCAGTGGGCTCAGTAGCAAATATCCTATGGTAATTTACTTGTGTGCCTGAGCCCTGCCCAAGGGGAAATATTTTGCCCTAGGCCAAATTCTGAGTCATACCTCAGAAGAGACTGAAGTCACCCTGACTTTTAGTCAAGATCCAATCTCTATAAGTGTTGTCTTCCAAATTGCCCAGCACTTTGGTGGTGCACAAAAACCTGAGGACAGGCCCTGTTGGGGAAGATGAAACAGGAAAGCCTTATAAATATGATTGTCTGGCAAAAGATTTTGAGAATATAGAAACTATGAGCGAGATTGAAATGAAAGCAAGCTTTGAGATCCCTTAGTTACTGAACAACTGGAAAACAATGGTGTGGTCAGCTGAAGGTGATCCCCTTTTGATGGAACAACACCCTCTGCTTGCAGACAGGCCCAAGGGTCAGAGTAGACCCTGCCAGCTTGGCAGAAGGGGCACAAAGAGGAGTTTTTAGGGTTTAAAATGTATCACAGTAGGTAATGTAGTGATTCTTATAGGCTGTATGTAAATGCTACAGGATTTGTACCTTGTGCTAGATTGGTTAGTGAGAATCAGAATATTCAACACAGAAGATTTATTGTATTGTAACAAGAACCTGGCTCTCTTACCCCTTTTACTCTCTCACCCTCTCACCCTCTCTCCCCCTCTCTTCTCTGGGGCCTGCTCTGAGCTGTGGCTGGCAGCTCCCAGCAGGGCCCTGCACCCAGGCCCTTTGCAATAAACCCCAAATTCCACAACCAGAAGACGATTTATTGCATTGTAACAGGAACCTTGCCCTCTGATCCTCTCTTTTACTCTCTCATTCTCTCTTTACCATGCTCTTGCCTTCTCTCTCTTCCCCTTTGGGCCTGCTCTGAGCTGTGGCTGGCAGCTCCCAGCAGGGCCCTGCACCCAGGCCCTTTGCAATGAACCCCAAGTTCCAGCCCTGGCTGCAGAGATCTCTCATCTCCATCCATCCCCACCATCCTACCCCTCAATGCTCCTACAAGTCCCCAATCTGATTGTTGGCCACAGCAGCTCCTGGTGTCTCCAACTCTTACCCCAGAGTTTGGGACAGGGGTTTACAGCTCCAGTTCTCTCTCTCTTGCCCTGGATCCTTCCAGATTTTGCGCTTCATCGGTGACCAGAGTCTCCATGGCTGGCAGGAGGTCCTGCTGGGCAACTTCATTGCTGGCAGAGGTTTGAGGGACGCTGCTCTGCGCGATGAAATCTTCAGCCAGGTGGTTGCCCAGAGCTGGAGGAACCCGGACACGGAGCGCAGCCGGCGGGGCTGGCTCCTCATGGCCATTCTGCTCAGCTGCTTCGGCCCCTCACCTGCACTGCAGAAACCTCTGCTGAAGTAAGAGGAGAAAAGGCCAAGGCAGGACCACAGAGGGGTTGGGAGGATAAGCAGTGCCACATGCAGTTCCTTCTCCTAGGTTTGTGTCAGACTATGGCATGGAGGGCTACAGCGCCGTGTGCCAGCGCAAGATGCTGAGGGCGGCCCAGTGCATGGGGACAGGGCCTGCGCCCGCTCGGGCTTACCCTCCCACCCAGCTGGAGTGGACAGCAAACCAGAGGAGAGGGAAGATGGTGCTGGATGTTCACACCTTTAATGGTAACTCACCCTTCTGCCCTCCTCCTGTCTTTCAGTCTCTAAGGTCTTTTCCAGTGCAGAAATCAGCATTGGGGAATAATTCCCTCAACCAAGTGAAGTGGGTCAGAACACTGTTTGCTGGTACAGCCATGGGGGAAACAAGCATCTGAATTTAGATCCAAAACTTGCAAAGTCTTTGCATGGTGGGACCTGCTTCTCAGGCTGAGGGATGAGATTGTCCTGGGTTTGGGCCCTGCTCAACAGAGGGTTATGCATCTCTCCAGGGCTGCTGTCCATTACAGCCCATGCAGCAAGATTTTGCTACAGGGACTTTGTGCCCTTCTCAAATATTACCTGAAGTTGCCTCTTGAGCAACCAGCAGCTCTATGAATTGAACACAGAACATCCCTACTCTGGCTCCTTGTGAGTGGAGTGATCCCCAAGCAAACCAGGACACTGCAAGGGTTTTCACCTGTCAGGTTGGAAATGCCAACCTGTGCCATCAAACAGATATTTTGGATGTGAATGTGATGAATGTGTCCATGTGGAGCCTTCCATGAGCTTTCAGGCCTTCTGTGGCCCTGCCCAGGAGTGTGTGAGACTTTCCAGCTGGGCTTGTGTCCCATGGAATGTGGGAGTTGCTTTGGGTCCTGCCAGGGAGGCTCTGGGCACTGACTTTGCTCTCTGTGCCAGAGGAGGAGTTCTCAGCTGAGGTGGAGTCCTGGATGACTGGGGAGCAGTATGCAGCCTGGATCCTGAGTGCAAGGTACTGCCAGAGGATGGGAGCAGGTCTGGGGGTGTGAGAGGCTGTCACCAGCTCTAAGGCTCAGCCTGCTTTGGTCTGCAGGCTGGGATTTATATGGTTAAATGTAGAATACTCAATTCTTGCCCACTCCAGCCTGTGCTCCCTGCTTCACCCTTAACATAACCCTCAACCATACACAATGTGTTTCTTCAGGAACAGATACTGGTGTGATCTCTGACAGCAGCTTCAGAGAAAAAAAGAATTGATAAAAAGGACAAATCTTGAATTATTCTAAATATTTTCTAACCCTTGGCACTTAATAGTTGATTCACAACCTAAATCTAAAGGATTTAAGACAGGATAAACATGGCAAGAAGAAATTGAATGTAATGTTTTCCTTCCTCTCCCTTTCCCCTGCCTGCCTGGACACCTTTCCCCTCCCAGGGGCTGTGACAAGAACACTCGAGGGTGGTCTGTCTCCATGTTCACTGGCAACACGTGGCAGGACCTGCTGGGCTGTGACTTTGTGCTGGACCTCATTGGAGAGATGGAGGACACCAGCAACTTCCTCAGCTCCTCCCGGGCCCCCACTGAGTACCCCATCACCCCAGAAAGGGACAGGAGCATCCTGCAGCCCTCTGACCTGGACATGTGAGCCACCTGCTCCTCCTGCCCCACCACCCATGGCCCTGCCACCCATCTTCCAGCACTCTGGTTCTCATCTCATTTTCCTCTTCAACAGGATCCCTCCTGCCCCAGGTATCCAGGCCCCTGCCTTCCCCCCACCCAGCTTCCCTCCAGAGCTTGTTGGTCTCCATTCAGGTGAGCTTTAGCCCAGCACTGTGGCTGGCACTGGGAAGGGCCAGGTGGGCCCCAGCCAGGGCATCAGGGCAGAGGGGGAGTCAGGTGATTCTTCTTGTTGTAGACTCCACTCTGAACCATGACTAATAGGGACTGGAGGCAGGGGAAGCTTTCTTACCTGCCTTGTCACCAGACTTCTCTCTGCTCCCAGATCCAAGGTTTAGAGATGACCTGAGGGTCCCTGTGGGCTTGGATCACTATGTGGATGATCTCTTCAGCCCTGTGCTGCATCAGAGCTCCAGAGCATCTGTAAGTGCCCTGATGTTCCCTCCTGCCTTCTCTCTGCAGCCCTCCTGTCCCTGTGAGTCCTTCAAGGTTTTCCTGCCTATTCACTGCCCCTGCTCAGCTCAGGCACACATTTGAATGTCTTTCCCTCTGGGAAGTCTGTCCCTCTGGGCTCAGATAACTGTTTTGGGTTTATTTTGATGCAGGATATGGAGAACAGTGAGAATCTCACCAGACGCATGAAAGGCGGTGGGAAGATTGGCCCCACACAGAGAGGAATCTTTCCTTCTACAGGTCTGTAAGGCCATGGGGACACCTGGGACTACATCACCTTCAGTGAGCACCAGTCAGGGAGCCCCTTAAATGCTAATTATTGCATGTTCCGCTGGTTCATGCAGAGCACTGGGCTTTAGCACAGGCTGCACTCCTTCTCCCAGGTGAGACAGATGCCTTGCAGAGGTGTCAGATAAGGGAGCTGCTTTGTTGTGCTTGCAATGTCTCTTCTGAGCTGGCCTTGGGGTCAAGGCAGCAGGTATCTTGTTTCTGACCCAGGCCACCTCTTCCCTAGACAAATATTTGTAAGTCATGTATTCACCTTCTATTCACCCCATGCTTTCACAGAGCAGTTGCTGCCTTTATCAGGGGTGGTTTTAATCTTTTTTATTACTTCCTTGCAGAACTTCCTGTCATCTGTAGCTATTCCTTGGGTTAGTAAGTCTGAACCCTGAAGAGGTTTTGGTTTGTGTGTTTGGTTTCTTTGCTTTTCCTCATTTCTGTGGAGCTGAGACTCTGGCATTTGCAGCAGGGTGGAGTCAAACACCAACATATTAATGACACTGACAAATCTGAATCTGCAGGGGTAGGAACACACCCAGCAGTCTCAGAAAGGTGAGGAATGTCCAGTTCAGTCATTCCTGAGACAGGAACTACTCCTGGCTATTGGAGAGGCTCTGGGGCATGACAAGCCCTGTTACAGATCACTGGCCTGAGGCCAGCTTGTCACTTACCTGGCTTTTTAGATGAGGGAGATGTGTGATGATCATCCCAGGGCCATTCTCACTGGTGAGGACATAATGATCCAGTAGATTTGTGCTGGGTGCTGACTCCTTGCAGCTGAGTCTGACCCCCCACCCCTTGCTCTGCTGCCTTCACACTCAGTGGGATTTCTTTGTGACCCCATACAGGACCTGACTGCTGGGAGCAGAGGAATTCCTGTCTCCCCACAGCTCCTCCCCATGACACACAATGTTCATCCAGCCTTGCCACCCACTGCAAAGACACCAAGGTGACAGTCCCAGCCCCAGAGATCTTTGCCCAGTCCTCAAGAGAAAGTCTCTGTAATCATACACAGGCAGGAATTATTTATAAGCCTAATCATGAAGAATGGTGGTGTCCAAAGCTAGGCTGCAGAAAGAGAGTCTGGATACTGCTGTTTAAAATCTGGCAGGCCACACATTTTTCTTAGGTTTCCTTTTTCCACCTGAGTGTTGCTGTGTCCTGCTGTGGTTGGTGCATGTGCAGAGCACCAGAAGTGCTCTCTGGGGTTGCTCAGGATATTCTCATTTGGGATTCTCCAAAGCACTGTGCACTTGTTCTTTTGCCTCTAGGCTTGTCTGGAATGACCCAAACACCAGTTTACCAGCCCATGCCCTCCATGATGGGGATGCCAGCAGCCATGCCCATGATGCCAGGGGTTGGTGGGGTTGCACCTATGCCAGGTAATAGCAGAGTTTCTGTAACTGCACAGGGGAGGGGGTGGAAGGGGGCTGTCAGTGACACCTGTGCATTTCAGTGTCAGGTGAATGTGGGGAATGTTCACAGTAGGATTTTGAAGATGTGTGTGCTGTCTTCCACAGCCATGGTGATGCCCCAGCCTGTGGTTCCAGCTGTGGATCCCAGCCAGCTGGCAGCACAGCAGCAAGCCTTTATCAACCAGCAGGCCATGCTCATGGTGAGTGAAGGGCCCCAGGGACTGGGGAAGAGCCACACTGGTGTTTGTGCCTGGAGGGGGAGCCCAGCTCTCCTCATTGGGCCTGCCCTGTGTCACTCTGGCCTCACGTGCTGGGGTGAACTCTGTTTTAATCCCCACTATAAAGTGGGCATTATTTAAGGCTGCAAAACTGGGAGCCCTTTTTTGCCACTTTGTGTCCATGGGAACACTGAGGCACCATCAGTGAGTGAGGAGCAGAGACAGGAGCAGGCCTGAGAAGATTCAGCTCTAATTCCCATGGGTTTTAAGCTGGGATTTACTACAGATGCAGGCCTGCAGTGTTCTGCTTTCTGTGCAAAGCCCTGTAAGTGCAGGGAGCCCCAGGCCAGCAGCTGAGCCTTTGGGGGGTGTTAGGAGCTCTGCATCCTTGGCCAGCTGGGAGAAGACTCCCTGGGCATGCCTTGGCCACACACTGGGAAATTTGTTGTGCACTATGTGGATGTTTTGGGATTGATTAACAGTGAAAAAACAGGACAGGCTGTGACTGATGGCTGGGTTTGTGCTGCCTAGAGCTCATGGACACTGCAATTCCTTCCCCAGGCCCAGCAGATGACCCTTCAAGCCATGACCATTTCCCAGCAGCAGCAGCAGCAGGAGCTGCAGAAGCAGCAAAAGTCCCTTGAGAACTCCAGGCCAAGAGCCTCCAGCCCAGCCCAAGCCTCAGCCCCAGCCACTCTCCCCAAACCCAAGAAGCCTCCCAGCAGCCAGGCTGCTGCAGCACCATCAAGGTCTCCAGAGCCACCAGCTAAGGCCAAAGAGCTGGTATGAGAAACAAGCAGTGGTGGATTTGGTTTGAATTTGTGTTTGGTGTTTGCTCTGTGTCCATCCCTGTGTGGCCCTGGTTTGGCAGAGAGGAGAGCAGAGATTTGTGCTTCCTGATGATACTGAGACCTTTCAAACTCTGCTTGCTGAGTCTCTAAGGATCAAACCTCAGTGGCTTTTGCTCTGTGGAGGTTTGGCTGCAGGGTTGGCCAATTCATTTCATTTAAGCTGAAATTTTCAGCTTAAAGGAGAATTAATTACTCTGAGATCTTTATCATCCAGGAAGGTGTGTTGGGCCTCTAACATAATCCTCCTTCTCTGTGCTTGGCTGAGGGTTCCTTGTGTTGGAAACTGACCTACTGGGACACTCCTGGGTGTGGAGAGGTTCTAGATCAGAACAGTTTGAGAAAAAATCACCCCTGAGCTGAAGGGCACTGCAGAGCTACTGCTGGCTGGTGCTAACTAAACCAGCTGTGCACTGTCTGCAGGATTATGACTACGTGGAAGAGGAGTTCTCCAGCAGTGAGGATGATGATTGTCCTCGGGAAACCTTCCAGCAGAAGAGAGAGTACTTCCAGAAGATGGGTGAGTGTCTGCCACTGGGGGATTTCACTCATCAGAACACCTTCCTGGCATGCCCACGTGTTCTTGTCTCCCTGTCTGAAATCCAGCTAATCCCTGCAGGAGCTGCTGGTGATGTGTGTGCAGGAGTTTGGG